GGGGGGGGGGGATTGGGGTGTGTGTGGGGGGTTGAGTTACTGAGTGGCTGCTTGTTTTGGTGTCAGCATCTGTGTGTATCTTCCTAGGGATTAGGCAGGGTTTTTTCTTCACAGGTGCTGGCAAAACGTTAGGAAACAAAACTTCAAGAACACGGCCACACAGCCCGGAAGACCCACACCAGCCAAAAATTTACACCATTGTATTTTGTTACCAATAAGATAGTCAGAATCCCCTATTTTTGTTGATTTGGTAGTGAGCCAGTTATAGATTAGAAAATGGTATTTGTTCCACTCTCAGTCTGTTCATCGCTATTTCACAGAAGTGTGAGAGGATTTCCTTGGCTCCAAGAAAAATATTCAATAAACTGGTTGATATAAGCAAAGCATTTAGATTATCTGATATGTATTCATGAAGTGTGCCATAGATAACTTCTTAGATTAGCAGTGAAACTGAAAGAAAATTTACAAAAAGATCTGTAGTTTAATTTATTAGACTTCTGTTACTGACCTTCACTGACCAAAGTGGCTGCCGTAACTATATGTGCGCATGTACACAATCCATATTTATAGTAATCTTTTTTGTCATACTCCAAATCCAATTTTATAAGCATGTTTTAATCTAATTTTGAACATAATTGAGTATTTGTTGAATGATTTTTGTATATATTAAAAAATCTGTGATGACCTGAAAGACAAAAAATTATAAATCTGTATTGACTAACACTTGCCTCCTTGTACAGTAATAAATATAAAGTTTAAAAGTTGCACCGATCATATCCTAAGTAAATCACAAGCTGAGATAAAATTGTCTTTGGTGCCAGATTCTAGAGGCTCGATGGGTTCTGTGCTTATATCATTATTCCAGATAGTTTGGCAAAGAAAAGCCTAATATAATTTAGGGTGCGTGAGATAAATTCTGAAAACTATTCTCTAACTACCAATGGATAATGAAACATTTACAGCACATCCCAGTAGTGTGTTATATTGAATTATTGAAGTATAGTGATCATTTTTGAATGTCCTTTAAATGCTGGTGAAATTTCAAAGTGTGTTTCTTCAAACATATGTGTTTATTTGCTTGACAAATATCTCTATATAGAAATAAATGTTAGTCAAGCTCAGCTTAAATTGGATAACTATTTTCATGTTTTGTGTATATTATGTAAAAGATGGGCCTACTTTCATCGCAAGTACTTTTAATTTTTTCTTTAAAATTTTATGTTCTTCTCTGTATTAAGTTTAGAACCAGGCTGCTACAATAATCTATTTTATTCTTGTTCTAGTGATTGTGTAACATGCACACCGTTGGTCCAAGGGAAGGTTCTCCTGCCTTCCTTCAGGCACAGAATGGAAGCAGCTATAAATCTGGATATGTGCCAGGAAGAATAGTCCCATTTCGTCCTCCACCACCTCCAAATAATCAAGCTTCAGCCAAATTTTCCTGTGCAAGAGAGGAAGCTCATGCAACAGTAGCCTCTTCAGGAGATCAGCAACGCTATCAAGCAGAAACAAGCAGAAAGAATAGGCACAAAAATACATTTATTTGCTTTGCCATGTCCAGCTTTTCATTTTTTATTGCACTTGGAATTATTTTGGGCGTAGCATCAAAATATGCTCCTGATGGTAAGTTTCAATAAGTTGTGCTCTTTAGGGAATATTGCTATTGATTGGAAAAAATAAGGGGAAAAATCACTGTATGCTACTGTAATGTAAGAAAATTATGCAGCTTTTAAGAGCTTTATCTATGATATTTAAAGCACAAATAATTATCCTTCAATTGAAAAATAGCAAGCATTACTTTTAATGATGACATACTTTAATGAATCTCATTTCTTTGATACACAGAAAAATCACAGAATGTATTTAAGTTGCTACAACAATTGGTTAGCATGTTTATAGTTCTGAAGTTGGTCTTCGGTCTTTTCCTGAAAATGTATTTGATGTAGTCAGATCAAACACGTAATTTTCTCTCTCTGAAGTACAGAACTTAATTTTATACTCTATAGAATATCACATTTGCCATGAAAGACAAAGAAATACAGGCTTCAGCTTTTTTCAAAGCTGCATAGTTAAAGACTGGAACTCAAGCAGGCCTCAAAAGGACCACCAAAAGTTGCTGCCAAATTATGTCACTGAATAATTGGGAAGGTAACCACTATATTTAATAAATTAATGTTAATTGAATTAAAATGTAACTTCTGTACAGGTCTCTTTCTGGACCTGACTAGTTTTGTACCTGACTTTTCTCACAAAGGCTATATGTAGTCATTAATTCGAAAATGTTGGATGTCTCCAGTGTAGGATGTGGCTCTGATACTCAGTTTTTAAGAGAAATATTGAGATACACACACACACACACACACACACACACACACACACTCTTGAAACATAAAGGATGTTCAGTTCAAACTAATCTCCCTCTGTTAGGCAGTGCTTTGTATTCATTTGTGAAGAGACTCTTTGGAATGTGTGGGAGTGCAACACTGCAGCTGTCTATGACTCATTAAAGCAGATGTATCTCTTTGCAGGATTGCATGGCTGCTATAGGGAGGCCTCCACATTCTGGCTAAGCCGCAATGTGTAGATTGGGGTTAGCTTGATATTTAAACTTAATATTTATCTAGATAATTGTTTGAAAATTGTGTCATCCAACATTCTAGGTGATACGCATCTTATAGAGTAGTATGATATGGGAACCAGGCCACTATGGGCTTACTCAGTCAACTATGATTTTAAAAGTCATGGTTTTGGGCGAATCAGGGCTGATGAAGCTCTTATTCCAATTCTAAGCTCTAGAAAGACTGTGCATGCAAACACGACATGTTAGTTCCCGTTAATCTGGAATGGGAGTTCTACAGAACGTTGCAAAAACCAATAGAGATGCAGAACATTTCAAACTTGGTATGTTTTGAGCTCTTCACTAGTTTTACATGTCTTGAGTAATACTGTCTCAAGTGTTCCATGCTGTTTCAGGTGATGTGATTGGAAATATTTGCAACTGGAATGTTACCTTTTAAATTTTCCTCTCCAAGCCAGTGTATTAGGAAGAACTGGTCATGCCCTGGTTGCTGTTGTCTAGGCTGGGTGGTGTGATCTGGGAGTGAACTTTTAGAGTGAAGCAGCAGTCACTGTAAGGAGCAGATGGTACAATGATGGGAGCTATTTGGGTACTATTATTCCATTCATTATGGTGTTGTATTGCTGGTTTGAGTTGGTTTTTACTAAAATTCCTATGGAGAAATGGGACTTCATGTGCTTGAATTTATGTTCACACAGAAAAATATATTGGAATGTAAATGCAGAAGTATTAGAGAATTGTTTTGATTGGCTGCTTAACATAGGGGATATTTATATGTACTGGGTGCATGCTCTTAGGGCCTGTTGATGTTGAGATTCAATATGCCTGTATGAATACAATGAGTCTGCATCTTCAAATGCACTCTGAAAGAAGATCCATACACAGCACTTCCACCCTACCCCAAAACGTAGCAAGCCATCTTAATCTCTTTCCCCAAAGTTTTCTTTGCTGAAGGGTTGCTTTGGTTTGGTTGGCTGCTTGAACATTGCCTGTGTTGGAGTTTTTTAAAAAAAAATTGAGTGCATTTGGAAAAGCAAAAGGAATAACTGGTTGGTTTGATAAGTGTTTAAAATTCATGGCACTTTATGCTGGCTCTTCAGCCCTTGTATTTTTGGAAGCTTCAGAGTGCATTTAAAAATGCAAAAAAACTGTTTTGATCTGCAAACTTAAGGGGTGGGATGTCTGTGTTAGGCTCTTGTGTTGATAGTTGATGCAATCCTTGGTACAGTTTGCTGAAAAGATACATTTGAGCTGCAGTTTTTCTATCCCTCTCGCATTTTAACTGCAAAAAGAAGAGTTACAGTACTTGCTGAGTAAGGATGTGCACATGACTGATAGGTGGTCCTTTGTTTTGCCTGCTACTAAGCAATGTAAATGCAGGCAGCCATCAGGAAAGGATTTTGTTGTGTTTTCCAGGTGGAGACTCTTTCCTGGGCGTGTGTGTGTGTGTTTCAAATGTTGGCGGCAGCAGCAGCTAGCTTTTCTTTCTGTAATGTTTTCATTCTACCAGGCAGAAACTGCAGTTTTTGTTTCTGTTTGGCAGCTAGTCAGCCAGCCAGCCAGTTGACAGAAAGGGGAAAAAGAGGATAAACCTGCAGGTGGACCTTTAAATACTGGGGTAGAAGGAATCTTTGTTCCCAGCCAGGTAAAGTTTCTTGCATACACAACTTAGATTAAGAAGAGATTTATTTTAAACATTTGAAACACACACACACAATTTGAGTTAATAGACTGACTGCTATTCATTTTCTGCCAGGTTTCATGACCTGGAGAAGGTAATTGAGAGAGGGGAAAAGTCTCCCTGTGTTTTAAAGAACCAACCTAGTCATCTCTCTTCACATTGCTTTCAGTTGGCATGCCCCAAAGAAAAGGAAGAGATTTAAGGAAGGCAATGAGGGAGTGGGGGAAGAGGAGGAAACAAATGGATTTTTAAAAAAATACTTAATTTTTTTTTCTCTTCCGGTTTTCTGCAAGCTAGCTCCCTTGTAGAATTCAGCACAAACATCCTACCCCATCTGTTAGGATCATGAAATAAAAAAGGACGAGACTTTTTCTATGTTCCCATTGTTTCCTATAGCCCAAACACTCAAAACATTTCAAATTGTGTTTCACCATATATGGAGGCACTTAACTGGTTTGAATTTTCTGTCGAAACTCAGATGACTTGAAATGTTTTTATGGAATATTCTAGATGCTTCATTTCAGGCTCAGAACAAAGCACATTTTCCCACTTATTCACATTCCTGGAAACTAATATGAAATGTAATATAAAGCAAGAATTCTGTGGAATCTTAAACACAAATATTTTTATAGGCAAACGCATGGGTTATTCAAGGGTGGCTATTATATGCACAGATGTAGATAATTTAACACAGTATTTAGCATTTAGAATTCAAAATGCTTTGTGTACGGAATGATGTCCAACCAGCCTTACAGGCTTGTTGCAAGTATTGCTAATACTATCCTCACAGGTAGGCACAATCTCTCCTAGTGGATAGAGAAATCTGTTGGCATTCATTGTTCAGATAAACTCTTAACAAAAAGACTCACCTTTTGTTGTTGTTGTTGTTTAAAGTTAGACTAAATTTCCTCTATCCATATAAATTAGTACATGCAAGTCTTTGTCATATGGGCCTGGGCACCAGGGTTTTTTTTCCGGTGTTCTTGTTAAAAATCTAAATAATTATACAAGAGCTGCTCAGGAAAAATAATTACAATTACTTCTAATGCAGGAGGATTTACACAAATAATCTTAATACCTACTAAAATTGAGAGTGAATTTTTTTTTCCAGATGTGAAATACATATTGAAATAGAGAAGGGGACTAGTTGAATAATACAAAATTTAGCATTTTATATCACTCTAAAAACTTAGTTTTTTAAAATCTTATAGAATAAAGCTATCAGTAAAGATGGCTGTAATTACTGAGAACTGTAGTGCTATCTCAAAAGGTCTTCAAGTGACTATGCTAGTGGGTAAATTTGCTTTTTCTGAAACATGTCCTAACTGCTGAAGTTGTCAAAAAGTGAAATTATTTTTAAAAAGGCAATTGTTTGATTTACTGGTGAAAAAGCAAGGGAGGACCTTTGATGTTTTCTGGCCTAAATTAGAGGGGTCCTAAATTAGTAGGGGTTTGTACTGGAAAGAAAGTATTGTGTACACTACCTACTTCAGAAAGACTTCTCCAACCAGCACCTTCCATACCTCTTGGCTATCTATGGTCCTTGTCATCCCCAGCCAAGCCTTCAGCTGTATTTAATTACAGTGATCACATCTGTCAGTGGTTATGATGTCTGTGGATGATTGGAAATTTAGTCCAACATATCTGGAGAAGACTGGTCTAGAATACGGTTTGATTTTAGTACATAAAATTGCCAATATCTTGTCTATTTAGTACAATAAATTGCCAATAGGGGCACCCTATTCACCAGACTACGGTTTGTAGACCAGAAATGCTTGACAATTATATTCAACATCTAGCAGGAATATAACATTAAAATATTAATTACAGTGGGGCAAAAAAGTATTTAGTCAGCCACCAATTGTGCAAGTTCTCCCACTTGAAAATTACAGGCCTCTCTCATCTTTTTATCATAGGTATACCTCAACTATGAGAGACAAAATGAGAAAAAAAATCCAGAAAATCACACTGTCTGATTTTTAAAGAATTTATTTGCAAATCATAGAGAGGCCTGTAATTTTCATCATAGGTATACCTCAACTATGAGAGACAAAATGAGAAAAAAAATCCAGAAAATCACACTGTCTGATTTTTAAAGAATTTATTTGCAAATCATAGAGAGGCCTGTAATTTTCATCATAGGTATACCTCAACTATGAGAGACAAAATGAGAAAAAAAATCCAGAAAATCACACTGTCTGATTTTTAAAGAATTTATTTGCAAATCATAGAGAGGCCTGTAATTTTCATCATAGGTATACCTCAACTATGAGAGACAAAATGAGAAAAAAAATCCAGAAAATCACACTGTCTGATTTTTAAAGAATTTATTTGCAAATCATAGAGAGGCCTGTAATTTTCATCATAGGTATACCTCAACTATGAGAGACAAAATGAGAAAAAAAATCCAGAAAATCACACTGTCTGATTTTTAAAGAATTTATTTGCAAATCATAGAGAGGCCTGTAATTTTCATCATAGGTATACCTCAACTATGAGAGACAAAATGAGAAAAAAAATCCAGAAAATCACACTGTCTGATTTTTAAAGAATTTATTTGCAAATCATAGAGAGGCCTGTAATTTTCATCATAGGTATACCTCAACTATGAGAGACAAAATGAGAAAAAAAATCCAGAAAATCACACTGTCTGATTTTTAAAGAATTTATTTGCAAATCATATAGATATACAGGGGGGCAAAAAAGTATTTAGTCAGCCACCAATTGTGCAAGTTCTCCCACTTAAAAAGATGAGAGAGGCCTGTAATTTTCAAGTGGGAGAACTTGCACAATTGGTGGCTGACTAAATACTTTTTTGCCCCACTGTATATCTATATGAATTTGTTTTTAATGGGGAGACATTTTATTTTGATTAAAAATTAGCAGAGTCGGTGTATTCATTATTGCTGCTGTGTTAATTTCCTGAATACTGTAGTGCTTTATGTGTAATTATTTTCCCATTATATTTCAGAGAACTGTCCAGATCAGAATCCTCGCCTTAAAAACTGGAATCCAGGACACGATAGAGAAAAGAGAATTGTCCTCCAGAAGGGTGATCTCTTTCGTCTGAACGTGGATGCCACTGTGCATTCCATAGTTATACAGGATGGAGGTATGCAAAGCAGTTCATAATGCTAAACTAAATATGACAAGGGCAAGTATTTTTATTTATTTATGTGTTAGTTGCAGTTACTTGCTGCATAGAATAGGCATGTGAAAAATCTGCATTGTGCATTAAAAGTATTCAGATGACAGGAGCATAGTTCCCACCTATCTTCCTTTATTCTATGTAGTTACTTTAAATACATTTTTCCCTAGCTTCATTCGTTTTTTTTTAGATTTTTTATCCTGCCTTTCTTATTTTTATAAATAACTCAAGACGGTGAACATGCCTAATACTCCTTCCTCCTCCTATTTTCCCCACAACAATAACCCTGTGAGGTGAGTTGGGC